GAGTATTCTTGCCCTAACATCGTTCCACACGACTTTTTGCTTGCTCATGAACTCTCATTAATAAAATATTTGCTCCTCTATATTCTATCTCTTTGATTAGATCCAACACAAAACATACTTTTTACATTATAATGTCTTTTAAAAAGTTTTACAATAAACTAATGTAAAATCACTGCTTTAAATTGTAGAACTCATTTATTGGACCAGTCTTGTATTTAAGAGGCAAAATTTAATGTACTATGGCAAAGTTATTGCTGTATTTACACAAGATTAGACAAGCAAGCAATCAAAGACATAAAACCCTGTGTTTGCCGTATCAAAATTATATTTTCTAAGTCGTTGTCTAATACTAGCAAAATTTATGCAAGATATTAAAGTGTTAATGTCAAGGTCACACAAATATTAAAAATTATAAACTTAATCATATTTGTTTATTTTATAATGTCAAATTTTTATGAGATCAATTTGCTTCTTAAATACAAAAATGATCCAATAAGTCAGTAGTATAATGTTGCTATAAAATCACTTTTGAGAGTTTAAATGTAGTTGAGTGGAAGTGAAGTTATTAAAAATAAAGTTTTGAAACCGATTTGAATCATTGCTAAAAATGAATTAAAGTAATAAAATAAAAGTGTTTTCAACCGCATTATTAGTAGTTGTTTTAAACTTTTTCACTATCGCAAAAACAGGATTTTAAAAGGATGTTAAAAGCGTGGGAGCGCTCCACATTTTCACTACCTCGCAATATCTCAATGCAATCTGCATTCATTTCTGTTTCTGTTTCGCTTATATGAATGGGCAAGTGGTATGCTTGTGGCAATTCAACGTTCTACAAATGTATGGGTACGCTTCTTTGGTCTTATTCTTCTTATATTCAATGACAGAGGAAGTTTTATTTTATTTTGATCTTGAGTCTTCAAAATTATGACATATTAGAACCTCAAAAGAGTGTATTTTCATGTAAACAAGAAACACCAGTCTTCACAAGATGAGCCAAAGTGTTCTTGGACACTGTGTCTGAAACGCTGAAAGCTCTTTAAAGTCGAGTTATCAATGCGTGCATACTGCACAGAACCCGGCCTCACTAATTTTTTATCATTCTTTCCACAAACCGATAAACTTTTTACAGGTCTAAAATTCTATCTGTAAACAATTAGAATCTCATCCATCTCAATTCTTGTGCATTTAAAAGCTGTTTTCTTTATCCCTCCTTCTTCTGATTAATTAAAACTACTTTTACGGATTTTATCGCGTTTAATTTTTAATTATTTTTAATTCCTGACGTTTCGGGTGCTTTCCAGCACCCATTCACGGAGGACTGAGATGACTGACGTCCCGATGTCATTGTTAAACACGGAGTACCTTGCTGACAGTGGTTTGAAGTCATCTCACTCTGCTACTCAGTTGACCAGGATAGAGCTTTTCCTCCATAATTATGTGAGACCATCCTGAGATATAAACTATTCAAACTTAAGAACAATTAAAATCTGTTTGTAATTAACGAAAGGATTGCGTATCATACATACATACAAAATATACAGTCGTATATTGAACCTACTTCTCATCTCATCAGTTTTACAATTACATAATGCTACGAGCTTGAGGATCGTGACAATAAAAACTGCCGATTGAATTACCAAAATTTACACTTTTATTACCGAACACCAATTAAAACTTAAATCACTAATAATTAATCACACTGATTCACTTTATTTCGCTCCGAAGCTTCGCTTGTCTCGCCAAATTCAATACTGCCCCGATCGCGACTTGCAGCGGGTTTAAATACACTTTTACACCGAAACATCCAGAATATTCCCGTAGGTACGGGCGCCGAACAACCAGACGCAGAAAGTACAAGTGTAGGGCTTCTAGAAAGCTTAATTCTTCTGTTTGATACTAGATGGCGCTATTGGTCGAAAGGCAATGTTGACATTTTCTAGGAAGCCCTCCTCGCTCTTTTCCCCGACACTAGATGGCGCTAGTGCCAGGTACCTGACGTCAACTTAGGCGCACAACAGTGCCCCCTCCTAAGACATGCTCTTCCCGAGCATTATCGGTCCCATAATAACGCGCCAGGCGATCGACATGGACGATCTTAGGAGTCCCTCTTGCGCCTTTCTGAAACGGCTCCGCAATGTCAAAGGCTGTCCTATCCTATGGTGCACCAACATTGTACAATTTCAATGCTCCTCTACTACGTGTCTGAGGTCCCTTCACAGCCGCAAAACTTGTACATGTGCGACATCAATCCTCGACATCGTCACGATAATGGACGCAGTAAAACTGTTCTCGGATCTTCAGTAGAGTTCGTTTAACTCCCAGATGGACTCTTGAACCACCATTATGGTACAGCTGTAAAACATTCGGCACTTTAGCTTTAGGGACAACCATTTGCAAATGACAGCTGTCTCCTCGACCATTGTCGCATTTACGTCACAGGACTCCATCCTGAATCAGCAAGCTGTTTCGTTGGGCCCAATAGCTTCTAGTGGTCGAACTCATCGTTGAGACATCGCTCCACTTGGGATTGGTAGCACGGGCCTTCATCCATTCCAGAATCGGCTTGATGTCCGGATATTCCTGCTGTGCGTGTCGTAGGCTGTCCTTCCACTCGTTGTTGAGGTGGTCTGTCCTGAGCATCCTCACGGATAACACTTCCTTACTCTCTTGCCTAGTACTGTTCTCGCCATCATCAAGATAAGGACTTATTGACAATGCATCTGTGTTGCCTCGCCATTTCCCGCTGCAGTGTCTGATAGTAAAGTCGTATTCCTGCTGCTGCTGGGCGGTGCTGTTAGCTGCACTTCCTTTCTGAGATCGTTCACCTTCCCTTTCTAGGGTTTGCTTAGGGCAGCTGGATCGAAGATGGCCCCTTTCCCCACAGACATAGCAACTAGGGCTGTATCCTTTATTGTGGTCGCGAACCGTAACTGCTGCAACCTCCCTAACGTGAGAGGAACGATGATCCTGCCGCCGCCAGGCGGTACCGTTAGCTGCACTACTCTCTCGAGAATGATCAACTTCCCTCTCTACGGTTCCCTTAGGGCAGCTGGATCGAAGATGGCCCCTTTTCCCACAGCCATAGCACCTAGGGCTGTATCCTTTGTTGCGGTCGCGAACTGTAGCTGCTGCAACCTCCCTGACGCGATGAGAACGATGATCCTGCCGCACAGCTTCCACCTCCAGTGCATGGGCCAAGGCGTCTTTAAGTGTCTCGTTGTTCCCGAGTCTCACAGCAGCTCTGACTTCAAGGTCACGGGTGCCGTCGATGATTGTTTGCACCAGATTCCCTTCAATGAGCGCAGGTACAGACCGGTATGCTTTTCGCACCAGCTTCTCCACCTCTAGAGTCCACTGCTGCAGGTTTTCGTTGATGCGCTACACGCTTTAAGCTGCGCACGAAAGACGTGTTCCAGGTGAGCGTCGCCATATCTCGCCTCCAATGCCTCAAGGAGCTGCTCATAAGTCACTTCCTCACCGAGAACTTCCAGAACGGTTAAGGCCTGGTCGCGCAGGCCTAGTGTGAGAGCGGTCATGGCCTGACTTTTATTCCAGCCATTCGCCTTCATAACAGCTTCAAACTGGACTTTGTAAGCTGACCAGGAAGAAGTCCCGTCGAACGATGGCACTTTGAAGCCACATAGCGAAGGTGTTGTAGCTACTGCTGATGGGGCTGCAATTCAATCTCCAAGTTTGAGTTCATCCAGCATTTTCTTAACTTGGTTGATTTGGGTCTCAGCTTGCAACAGGCGGTTATCATGTTGAGCAACCTTATCTTTAACCTCCCTTATCTCTTTCCCGAAGGTAGTGTGAAGGTCCTTCATGAGAAGCTGAGATCTGCTCTTCCCTATCACGTTTGAGATACTCTTCTAAGCGACGGGCCTGTTATTCCTGCTGCTCTTTCAACTGACGGGCCTGTTCCTCCTGTCGGCGGGCCTGTTCCTCCTTTCGGCGGGCCTGCTCCTGTAGCATCATCTCCGTGGCCTGCGGCTGGCCCTCCGACGTCGGGTTGCACCACCAAATCTTCTCTGGTCCGTCTCCTGCTGGCGTTGACTTCGGGTGCGGATACCCTTCGTTTCCTCCTTAGGTACAATCAACATGATTTTGTCCCACGTCTGACACCAATTGTTACGAGCTTGAGGTTCATGACAGTAAAAACTGCAGATTGAATTACCAAAATTAACACTTTAATTCACTTTAGTTAAAATACACTAATAATTAATCACACTGATTCACTTTATTTCGCTCCGAAGCTTCGCTTGTCTCGCCAAATTCAATACCCCGATCGTGGCATGCAGCGGGTTTAAATACACTTTTAAGCCGAAAAATCCCGAATATTCCCATAGATACGGGAGCCGACCGACCAGACGCAGAAAGTTCGAGTGTGGAGCTTCTAGAAAGCTTAATTCTTCTGTTCGATACTAGACGTTGGTCGAAAGACAAGATTGATATTTTATAGGAAGCCCTCCTCGTTTTTTTCCCGACACTAGATGGCGCTAGTGCCAGGTACCTGACCTCAACTTAAGCGCGCAACAATAATAATCTTATTCTTAGTAAACCGACTACTTATATCTCTCACAAGTTCCGTTGAAAGCATTTTCCGTGCATTCGTTTTTATGACGTCCATAAAGGCTTTGCAATGGGAGTGAGCATTTCAATACAATACAATACAATACTTTTTATTGCACACAAAATAATACAAAGAACAACAAACTTAAATTAATAAATTTATATACAATTAGGTGGCCTTATCGCTAAGCAGAACAGATCTCTTCCAGGCAAATCTTGGTGAAGGAGATCTTTTACATATAAAGATATAGAAGTGTGCATAAATAGTAGATAAAAAAATATATAATACATAACATATATATATATATATATATATATATATATATATATATATATATATATACATACCATATATACACAAACTTTATTTTTCTTTTTGATTAAGGCCGGCTTTTTATTGAGGCCGATTAAGCACGTGGTGCAAAATTCTCTCAGCTGGGATAAGGTCTCCCATTGTCATTATTGTTACCGAACAGAAACGATACGGTGCGACTTAAATTTTCTAAAGGACAAACGAAATCCTCTCCGCTGGGATAAGGTCTCCTATTGTCATTATTGTTACCGAACAGATACGACACGGTGCGACTTAAAGGTTCTAAAGGACAAACGAAATCCTCTCCGCTGGGATAAGGTCTCCTATTGTCATTATTGTTACCGAACAGAAACGACACGGTGCGACTTAAAGGTTCTAAAGGACAAACGAAATCCTCTCCGCTGGGATAAGGTCTCCTATTGTCATTATTGTTACCGAACAGAAACGATACGGTACGACTTAAAGGTTCTAAAGGACAAACGAAATCCTCTCCGCTGGGATAAGGTCTCCTATTGTCATTATTGTTACCGAACAGAAACGATACGGTGCGACTTAAAGGTTCTAAAGGACAAACGAAATCCTCTCCGCTGGGGTAAGGTCTCCTATTGTCATTATTGTTACCGAACAGAAACGATACGGTGCGACTTAAAGGTTCTAAAGGACAAACGAAATCCTCTCCGCTGGGGTAAGGTCTCCTATTGTCATTATTGTTACCGAACAGAAACGATACGGTGCGACTTAAAGGTTCTAAAGGACAAACGAAATCCTCTCCGCTGGGATATGGTCTCCTATTGTCATTATTGTTACCGAACAGAAACGATACGGTGCGACTTAAAGGTTCTAAAGGACAAACGAAATCCTCTCCGCTGGGATATGGTCTCCTATTGTCATTATTGTTACCGAACAGAAACGATACGGTACGACTTAAAGGTTCTAAAGGACAAACGAAATCCTCTCCGCTGGGATAAGGTCTCCTATTGTCATTATTGTTACCGAACAGAAACGATACGGTGCGACTTAAAGGTTCTAAAGGACAAACGAAATCCTCTCCGCTGGGATAAGGTCTCCTATTGTCATTATTGTTACCGAACAGAAACGATACGGTGCGACTTAAAGGTTCTAAAGGACAAACGAAATCCTCTCCGCTGGGGTAAGGTCTCCTATTGTCATTATTGTTACCGAACAGAAACGATACGGTGCGACTTAAAGGTTCTAAAGGACAAACGAAATCCTCTCCGCTGGGATATGGTCTCCTATTGTCATTATTGTTACCGAACAGAAACGATACGGTGCGACTTAAAGGTTCTAAAGGACAAACGAAATCCTCTCCGCTGGGATAAGGTCTCCTATTGTCATTATTGTTACCGAACAGAAACGATACGGTACGACTTAAAGGTTCTAAAGGACAAACGAAATCCTCTCCGCTGGGATAAGGTCTCCTATTGTCATTATTGTTACCGAACAGAAACGATACGGTGCGACTTAAAGGTTCTAAAGGACAAACGAAATCCTCTCCGCTGGGATAAGGTCTCCTATTGTCATTATTGTTACCGAACAGAAACGATACGGTGCGACTTAAAGGTTCTAAAGGACAAACGAAATCCTCTCCGCTGGGATAAGGTCTCCTATTGTCATTATTGTTACCGAACAGAAACGATACGGTACGACTTAAAGGTTCTAAAGGACAAACGAAATCCTCTCCGCTGGGATAAGGTCTCCTATTGTCATTATTGTTACCGAACAGAAACGATACGGTGCGACTTAAAGGTTCTAAAGGACAAACGAAATCCTCTCCGCTGGGGTAAGGTCTCCTATTGTCATTATTGTTACCGAACAGAAACGATACGGTGCGACTTAAAGGTTCTAAAGGACAAACGAAATCCTCTCCGCTGGGATATGGTCTCCTATTGTCATTATTGTTACCGAACAGAAACGATACGGTGCGACTTAAAGGTTCTAAAGGACAAACGAAATCCTCTCCGCTGGGATAAGGTCTCCTATTGTCATTATTGTTACCGAACAGAAACGATACGGTACGACTTAAAGGTTCTAAAGGACAAACGAAATCCTCTCCGCTGGGATAAGGTCTCCTATTGTCATTATTGTTACCGAACAGAAACGATACGGTGCGACTTAAAGGTTCTAAAGGACAAACGAAATCCTCTCCGCTGGGATAAGGTCTCCTATTGTCATTATTGTTACCGAACAGAAACGATACGGTGCGACTTAAAGGTTCTAAAGGACAAACGAAATCCTCTCCGCTGGGATAAGGTCTCCTATTGTCATTATTGTTACCGAACAGAAACGACACGGTGCGACTTAAAGGTTCTAAAGGACAAACGAAATCCTCTCCGCTGGGATAAGGTCTCCTATTGTCATTATTGTTACCGAACAGAAACGACACGGTACGACTTAAAGGTTCTAAAGGACAAACGAAATCCTCTCCGCTGGGATAAGGTCTCCTATTGTCATTATTGTTACCGAACAGAAACGATACGGTGCGACTTAAAGGTTCTAAAGGACAAACGAAATCCTCTCCGCTGGGATAAGGTCTCCTATTGTCATTATTGTTACCAAACAGAAACGACACGGTGCGACTTAAAGGTTCTAAAGGACAAACGAAATCCTCTCCGCTGGGATAAGGTCTCCTATTGTCATTTTTGTTACCGAACAGAAACGATACGGTGCGACTTAAAGGTTCTAAAGGACAAACGAAATCCTCTCCGCTGGGATAAGGTCTCCTATTGTCATTATTGTTACCGAACAGAAAAGATACGGTGCGACTTAAAGGTTCTAAGCGACAAACAAAATATAAAACTAACATTCAATAACTTTTTTGTTTTAAAACTAACTATGAACAAATGAAGGTAACATTCGTCAAGTTAGTCATTTTTAAAGGCTTGTTCCTATTAATCAGCTTGTAATATGAAAATTCAACCTTCTGGGTAAGTAAAACTCTCTTGTCTAATTTTGTCGGCAGCAGTGCCGCCAAATGCGTGCCTTGCTGTGCCTGTGTTCTGGTCTAAATGAGTATAGGGAACTATTATACTTAAGTTAAGTCTTTTTTATAGAATATGTGTCACAAACGTACACACCGTCCATCTGATGATAACTGGATGCTTTATGCCTCGGGCGGATTATTCCTGTATTATCGTTTAAACAACAAACAACTGTAGCAAATATCCCTCTCGTGAGGTAATCTGTGGGGGAGGCCTACGTTCAGTGGACTTTTGATAGGATGCTAAAGTAAAAGTGATGCAACTGTGTGAACTGAATGTCTGCGCATGTGAACTCTTACTGGACACGATAAGACTTGTGCTACGACAATGATATTAACCTCAAGTTATTTTGTCCGCTTTAGACGTCTTGAGACGAGTTTCAGAGGACAACTGAAACAGAAGATCAAAATCATAATAACTGAGGTTACCAGCTCAAATGCCAAGTGTAACAACTTTGAAGAAACCTGTGTAGGACAAGATAGGACTGTAATGAATGGATGGAACTGGTAAGAGATGCAAGAAGTCGATGGATACAGATGGCTAAAGATCGTGCTTCGTGGCACCCCTTAAGGAGATCTTTGTTCTGCACGCAACTTCTTATTTGGCTGTAATGATGATAATGTATTTAAAGTAGGAATAGTATTCAAATAAAACTATAAAATGTATAACGACATTTTTATTAGAAATAAAAGAAGATCAAAAAGATTTAAACACTGAATCAAGACGACGTTTTTCTCACTTAATTGAATTCAATGTTCTTTGATGCAGGAAAGAAGGAAATGAACTCAGACCAATTTATTTGTTACTTGCATGGATCTAAAATTGTGAAGAAATAGAAAATGATTATAATAGCAAAGTTTTCTTGAAGCAAACGTTTTTAACACTTGTTGTTAGAACATTGCTTGCATTCTTGAGCAAGTATTTTGAGGTGTAAAATATATCGTGATATCAAATTGTATTTACTAATTACATTTCTAATGTGCTTTTGAAAACTAGCTATAGTTAGCTATGGCTACAGCGTGAATGTTCAACTCGACCAGTTAACGCCAAGCTATATAATACAGTGTAACAAATAACACATCATGTCATGTCTTCCCTTTTCATTAATGTTCTAAAATTAAAAAGTGAAAGCTGACTACAAAGAACTTAAAACATAACTTCACGTTGATTTAAACTACTTTTACGGATTTTATCACGTTTAATTTTAATTTTAATTATTTTTATTTCCGACGTTTCGGATGCTTTCCAGCACCCATGGTCACGGGGGACTGACCTTCAGCTTTTTTAATTATTGTTTATGGTCCGATCTACGCAAAATGAACTGACTATGTCCTGAGGCCTTGCAGCACTGCAAGATCGGACCATAAACAATAATTAAAAAGCTGAAGGTACTCCGGGTTTAACAATGACATCGGGACGTCAGTCACCTCAGTCCCCCGTAACCATGGGTGCTGGAAAGCACTCGAAACATCGGGAATTAAAAATAAAAATAATTAAAATTAAAATAATTAAAATTAAAATTAAACGCGATAAAATCCGTAAAAGTAGTTTTAATCAATGTGTAGTATTCGCGAAAATATAAGAACTTATTATAACTTCACATTGTCAAGACGGCTTTCATTATTTTATTCACCATGTCTTAATACACCTTACTTCTTATTTTTAATTTTTGAATCCTTCGACCGTCGCCAATCCCATTTCTGGTTTTAATATTTTACGTCGGAGGTAGATAACTGAAAGAACGGTAAGCATTTAGGCGTCGCCAGAAATAAAAAAAATTAGTCAAACTATTTATCTAATATGTACTACGTACTAAAAGAGATGCCTAGACTGTGATGTTTGATGCTCGCGTCAGAGCCCGCGGACTTAAATTTAGTTTGTGCCTTCAAACGGGTGCCTCTTTTTTTATAAAATAAGAGTAGCAAACAAGCACAGAGTCTAACAGAATGGTAAGTGGATGCTATGGCTCATAGGTACCTACATCTATGTCAGTTATTTATATGTTATAGTTATGCAAGTGATGAAATAATATTATTCTATTGATTCTTTATATAAACGCGGACACTACATATTGAATAAAACGGCTCTTACGAAACGGTTAGAATTAAATGCGATAAAATCCGTAAAGTGTGGTATTTAAGGTAATTATTTGATTCCTGTTCTTGTAGTGAACTAACTGTTCCTCGCGACTTCGCCCACGTGAAATCTATACGATTGGATTTCACGGGCTATAAAGTTTTTTTGAGCGAATACTTAATTCTTTTTCTAAAACAAAAGTATATTAATTTATTCCTTATTCTTTCAGCTATCTGCTAATGAAATTCCGGTCAAAATCAGTCCAACAATTCCGAAAATTATCCGAATCAAGCAGACAGAGAAAGTTTTACTAAAAAAGATGGTTCGCAAAAACTTTTTAAATATAATATGTCCCAGATCACTTCTGGCATTGCGCTCTATATTATGTTCTCAAAGTTTCATCGCATTTGGTTCAACTATCTGACAATTAGCCCGAACAGACAGAATTCTTTCTCTGTCTGTCAGACAAAATAATTAAAAATGGTAATTAATTACTTTATAGCATGCAAATTACGTTAAGTTACGTTATTTCCCCGAAACTCTTCACCGCTGCACTGGAAGACATTTTCAAGCTACTGGACTGGACTGGAAAACTAAAGTGTATAACCAGTGCGTGTTGCCAGTGATGACTTACGGATCTGAGACGTGGTCCTTCACTGCTGGCCGTATGAGGACGCTCAAGGTCGCTCAGCGAGCTATGGAGAGGGCTATGCTCGGAGTTTCTCTGCGTGATAGACTCAGAAATGAGGATATCCGCAGTAAAACCAGAGTGACCGACATAGCCCAACGGATTAGTAAGCTGAAGTGGCAATGGGCCGGCCATATAGCTCGAAGAACCGATAACCGATGGGGAAAAAAGGTTCTCGAGTGGCAGCCTCGTACCGGTAGGCGTAGTGTAGGGCGACCCCCCACTAGATGGAGTGACGACCTGGTAAGATATGCAGGAAGTCGATGGATGCAGGTGGCTAAGGACCGTGCTTTGTGGCATTAGTTGGGGGAGGCCTATGTTCAGCAGTTGACTTGTGAAGGGCTGTAATGATGATAATGATGATGATGAAAATTATCCCATAAGCACAATAAAATTGCAGTTATTTAGATACATCAGGCACACGCTTACATTTTATTTATATTTTTGGATAGATAAAAATATAGAATATGCTTTGGCCTGTCTACCTTGTCTATTTTCTAGGAATTTATTTTAAAAGCGTATACACTAACCCAGGAATGAAATACTGACGCCAAACCACGGTAGATGTCGGTTCAGATATTCCAACCTCGTCAGGAAAGGCTTCGGATCGTAGAACGTTCCGGAAATGAAATACCATACTAGGATAACGATTTCTCGCATCTGAAAATTAATGGTCGTGGAATTACTACCGCTGTCCGCTTGTGAACACTCGCTTCAGCTAGCCGAGCGCTCACATTATATTCTCCGTAGTTTCTTGTTCTGAAACACGGTATTTGAAAGTTCTATTAAACAGATAATATTAAAACACTTTTTTGTAACACACGCTTACTCCATTCCACCTGAATATAAATGGATGCTAAGGCCTCTAAGTTCAAGAATAACAATGCAGTGCGTTGTTACTCCTGAGGACCAAGATGGAAGGTCTCCGCTTCTGTACCCACACCATATGAAACACAGCAGCATTAAGTTGCTATTTTACGCTAGTTTTGCGTGAGACTGTAGTTCTTCCCGGTCCGTCCCATTTTTGCTACAACAATATTATTAATTTGCATCAAAGAAAATCGCGATGTGGAAGAACAAAGACTAAGAGACAGAGTGAAAAATCCGATACAATGTAAAAATTTGCGCTTCAAAGTTCCAGCGGCTCGCGTTACCGCGGGCGGCGCGAGGCCCGCACTACGCGGGTGTAAATTAGTTCAAGTGATAAATTAGTGACAGAGAATCCATCGCTGAGCGAGAATCGTGAATGACCAAGTTATCCTACTTTTCCTGAGCGTGAGTGCTCAGGCTGCCCCGCGTATTCTGGGGAGGCGCAATTCTGCTCGCGACTGAAACTGCTCGGAGCAAGTGAAGCAAAAACACCAAGGCAACCCCTGCCACGTTATCCGTGAAATTATGCAACATCAGGAGACTTCGTTCCAACCTTAACGCTGTCCACGACCATATGGAGGTGGCCCTCTCCAGCTGATAATTCATATACCTCGGGCTGGAGTTTGCGTATACGTCAGAGAGGACACCTGTTTTCGACGCCTCGGCAGTCTTGAAGGTACGGACCAGTCCATCCTATCGCTACGCGTAGACAGCGACGACTATCCCCGCGTCTGCGGGTGACACTATAGGTCCCATAGCGGTAATGCCGAAACAGACCGACTAATCAACCACGTACAATCAGTTACAGATTCCATGCTATAGCAGATCCCATCCGCAGAGATCGTGATCCTTGGAAACTTTAACGCCCACCACGCCCAATGGCTCGGTTCACGTTTAACCGATCATGCGGGGAGATTTGTTTATGACTTTGCATGGCATATAGTCTGACACAACTGGTTACATCACCTAAGTGGATTCCAAATGTGGAAGATCATATACCTTCCCTGTTGGATTTTCTGCTGACCTCTCTTCCGGACGGATATCAGGATCCCACGACGCCCCTCTAGGTTCGTCGGACCGTTGTCTAGTCCGGAGTGTGATGCCACTCACAATAAAATCGTGGTTGCATTCTGCAGGCTGCTGCCGTGTTTGGCAGGTCAGCCGATTGGATTAGGGTGCTGTCTTTTTTGC